ACGGGAACTCTCTACCTCACTTCACATGCGAGTGACACCCTCGCAATTGCAGCTGGCAAGGAGAGTACAGATCTGTGGCACAATAGGCTGGGGCACATGAGCGAGAAAGGGATGAAAATTCTACATTCACAAGGAAAGCTAACCGGGATTGACACCGTGGAAGTCGGGGTTTGTGAAGACTGCATCTTTGGGAAGCAGAAGAGGGTTAGTTTCCAGAAGGGTGGAAGGCCACCTAAGGCTCAGAAGCTAGAGTTGATTCATACAGATGTATGGGGTCCAGCCAGTGTGTCTTCTTTTGGCGGTTCGAGATACTACGTCACCTTTATCGACGATCACTCGAGGAAGGTGTGGGTTTACTTCATGAAGCACAAGTCAGAGGTGTTCGAGAACTTCAAGAAGTGGAAGGCCATGGTCGAGAACGAGACAGATATGAAGGTGAAGTGCTTGAGATCAGATAATGGTAGAGAATACGAGCTGGAGGAGTTCAAGAGGTTCTGTGCTACGAATGGGATTCGTTTAGAGAGGACTACTCCAGGGACGCCGCAGCAGAACGGCGTTGCAGAGAGGATGAACAGGACCTTGACAGAGCGTGCGCGGAGCATGCGATTACATGCAGGTCTGCCTAAGATATTTTGGGCGGACGCGGTACATACGGCAGCATACCTTATTAATCACGGGCCATCAGTTCCATTAGATTTTGGGATTCCAGAGGAGGTTTGGAGTGGAAAGAAGATAAATCTCTCACACTTGCGGGTATTTGGTTGCGTGGCTTATGTTCATATCAGTGACCATGTCAGGGACAAGCTAGAAGCTAAGTCACAGAAGTGCACATTCATTGGATACGGCATTGATGAGTTCGGGTATCGCCTTTGGGATGAGAAGAACAGGAAGATCATCAGGAGCCGGGATGTGATATTCAATGAGGAGGTGATGTACAAGGACAGGGACAATGCCAAGGATAGCCAAAGCAGTGGGAGCAGCACTACGGATACAGGTGGATCCGAGTACATGGATTTGGAGGAACTTCCAGATGGGGGCGACGATGTCAGTTCTGACCGTAGAACGGAGGAGACTACAGGTGCAGAAGCTACTACCCAGGGCGTGGAGCCTAGGAGGTCATCTAGGGTACCCAAACCAAATCCCAAATACCTCTCGTCACTTGATTATCTACTCTTAACAGATAGCGGAGAGCCGGAGTGTTATGAAGAGGCAGTGCAAGTGAGTGAATCTCAGCAGTGGGAGCATGCGATGCAGGAGGAGATGGATTCTCTACTCACTAATGAGACATGGGAGTTAGCCCAGCTACCTGCGCAGAAGAAAGCCTTGCACAATAAATGGGTCTACCGGGTCAAGCAGGAGAGTGATGGAAGCAAGAGATTCAAGGCCAGATTAGTAGTGAAAGGGTTTCAACAGCGGGAAGGAGTGGACTACACGGAGATATTTTCCCCTGTTGTGAAACTCACAACCATCAGAGTGGTGTTGAGTTTGGTAGCTGCAGAAGACCTCTTCCTTGAGCAGTTAGATGTGAAGACTGCCTTTCTTCATGGTGACTTGGATGAAGAAATCTACATGAAGCAGCCTGTTGGCTTCATTGAAGAAGGAAAGGAAGAGATGGTGTGCAAGCTCAAGAAGAGCTTATATGGTTTGAAACAGGCTCCGAGACAGTGGTATAAGAAGTTTGATAACTTCATGCAGAACAATGGCTACAGAAGATGCAATTCGGATCATTGCTGTTATTTCAAAAGGTTCGAGTCCAGCTTCATTATTTTGTTATTATATGTTGATGACATGTTGGTAGCAGGACCGTGTTTAGAAGAGATAAACAGTTTGAAGAGGCAGCTAGCAAAGGAATTTGCAATGAAGGATCTGGGTGCAGCGAAGCAGATTCTAGGGATGCGAATCAGTAGGGATGAAGCTGAAGGGACATTGAGTTTGAGCCAAGCTGAATACATTGAGAAGGTACTTCAGAGGTTCAACATGCAGAATGCTAAAGTTGTTAGCACACCCCTTGGAAGTCAGTTCAAGTTATCTGAGGAGCAATCGCCTAAGACAGATGCAGATAGAGAGCATATGAGCAGGGTGCCATATTCTTCAGCCATTGGGGGTCTCATGTACGCGATGGTTTGCACGAGGCCGGACATCGCCCATGCAGTGGGAGTTGTGAGCAGATTTGCAAGCAATCCAGGAAAGCAGCATTGGGAGGCCGTAAAGTGGATAATGCGGTACTTGAGGGGAACAACGAACAAGCCACTATGTTTCAGGAGGAAGGAGTTGGTGCTGCAGGGATACGTGGATGCGGACTTCGCCGGTGATCATGATACGAGGCGAAGCACCACGGGGTATGTTTATACCTTAGCGTCGACAGCAGTGAGCTGGGTCTCACGTCTGCAGAAGATTGTGACTTTGTCTACAACTGAGGCTGAGTATGTCGTGGTGACTGAAGCAAGCAAGGAGATGATCTGGTTGAACGGGTGCTTGGAAGAGTTGGATCTGAAGCAAGGGAGAGGAGTTCTTTATTGTGATAGCCAGAGCGTTATACATCTTGCCAAGAATCCAGTATATCATGCCAGAACGAAGCACATCGACGTCAAATACCATTTTATACGCTCGCTGATCGAGGACGAAAAGTTGCATTTAATGAAGATTTTGGGGAGTCAAAATCCGGCGGACATGTTAACGAAGGCAGTCACTATTGAGAAACTGGAGACATGTTGACGAAGGCAGTCACCATTGAGAAACTGGAGTTGTGCGCAACTTCAGTTGGCCTTCACGAGTAGAAGACGAAGGCGGAGCCACACTACGAGGATCGGCGAGATCGCCGGAATTTTGTTGATTGAAGGAAGAACTTTTTCGGGGGAAAAGATACATGCGAAGAAAGGGGGGAGTTCGAGTGAGCTCATTGATGGCGCTTTGGTCTCCAAGTGGGAGATTGTTAGTCTAAGTGTGTAGACCTGAAGCTGCAATCGAAAAGACGAAGAAAACAGTCAGAAGACTGTGAGGTCGACCGCGGTCGACCGGCGTGGCCGCTGCGGTCGACCGCAAATGTGCACAGGACCCTGTAAACAGATTTTTCTCTGGCCGGTCGACCGGCCTTGGCACGGCGGTCGACCGCGAATCGTCCAGACAGTTTCCTAAACTGTTTGGGAATCTGTTTTGTTTCAGGATTCTATATATACCCCAAACGTTTTTAGGGTTTGTAAGACATCAAAAAGAGAGCTTTTTGACTGCAAAGAGAGAGAGAATCTCGAAGAGATTAACCCCTTGTTTGAGAGCTTGTATTTTCTTCTTCAATTAATAAAAAGATTGTGTGGTGTGGTTCCCGAGGACGTAGGCAAGTTGCCGAACCTCGTTAAATCTGTGTGTTCATCTCCCTTACTGTTTTTGCAAGTTAGATCTTTATTTGTGGTTTTATTCCTACTTTCCTACTTTCAACACAAGGTCCAAAAGGGCAAGGGTTCGATTGATTGTTTCGAATCCCCAACAAAGATTGCTAGGTGAAGCATGTAAATAACGGCTAGTGTCTATGTTTACGGTGTGGGAATGGTACTTTTTATTTTGTCTAATTAAAAGAGCTGATTTTGTATGGTTTTGAGCTGGCTTCATGCTCAAATAAAATTTCCTCTGAGTTTTGTGATACTGTCGGAAGATGAACAGACATAGCGAGTTGCTCCTATATTTTTGTTGAAGGTAGAGTTCCTGCTATGCTTAATTCTAAGAGAATTAAAAGAAGTTCATTGAGGTATAGAACTATAGTCCTCAAATACTCGTCGCCTATTGCGGAGCTCTAGTATAGTACAAGGGACTTGATGGCATTAGACTAAACCCAAATTGTTTCTGGCACGGTGAATGAAAATTAGATAACGTAACTGGTACACCCATAAGCCAACTAGCTTACCGCATGAGGTTAAAAATTCTTATTGGATAACGTTAACAGCAGACTAGCTTCATTAACCCCAGCTTACCACTCTTACCATAGGCTATAAAATTTAGACTTATACAGTGATATCTTTCTAAATTCACTGCAAATGCATGTTTGGTGGGATTTGCAACTAGATTACTTTATACCATATTGAAGACCCTGTCACTTCACCTAAACTCCTAAGTTGTTCTACTTTTAACACTGCCTATTTGACAACTCACCTCTTAACTTAGATAAATATACCAACTTGGATAAAGGACTTATAATGTGTTTGGTAAAAACCTGTATAAGATTGGATGGACTAATTCTTTTTAGTTAAAAAAGAGGCCATTAACTAAGTAAAGGTACTAACTTGGATAACGAGCTTATAATGTGTACTTTTGGACTACCCCTACCTTGGTTCAATTCTAATCTGGTTAAGACCTTAACCCCTTATTCTCAAATGATTATTCGTGCTAGCTACAAAGGGTACATCAACGTACACATCGTTGTGACAAATAGAGAGAGAAAAAATATGTAACTTTAAAATAAAATCACATCAATCTTTTCATAGTGATATGTATAATACTACAAGTAAAGAAAATAAGAAAAAGAAAAGCATTTTTTAGTGTAGCATCTTTACATCTCAATTTCCAATGGTCACTGTAACATATGACCGGAACAAATTACTAGAGGTTTCAAAAATTCCTGGCAGCTTAGAAATGTTACAAATTTGATTTAGAGAAAAGTTGGTTTTGTGATTGTGAATACTAAGTATTGCAAATAAGATAGAGTGCATCAAGGAACTCATCCCTGTGACAAACAGATAGTTGAAAATTTGTAATTATGAAATAAAATATCATGATCTTCTTAGTAGATGATGTGTAAGAACTATCAAAATTATAAAAGCATTCCCCCGCCCCCCCCCCCCGCTCAATCATTATCAAATTGTTCGAATGAACAGCCTAGGAAGGACAAGAGTAGGAATGGCTACTAAAATTGTAACCAACAAAATTAGTAACTAATCTCAAACATAAATAATAGCCAGAAGACCAGACATGATGCAATTTTGAACTTATCTCAGATAGCAAAAGGCTTCACCCTTGGGCTACATCGAAGGCAACATAAAGTTTCAGACTCCATCCTCAACAAATAAAATCAGGTATTTACTTTTGGCGCATCAAGGACCATGAACATCAATGCTTGATACTGAATTCAAGATCTTGCTCAAAAAATTAAAAAATAGGTTCAAGCAATGCACATATATGCTTCCAACTAAGAATCTTCAATAGTGTATGAAGAAATATGTTGTCTAGTTTGAGCTTCATACGATTATAACCAGTTTCCTCTAGGAAAATCATCCGTGATCAGGACTTTTGCATGTGGAGAGGCTATGTGCATTGCAAGCAACTTCTCACAGATTGCTTTTGCTGTAGCTGCGTAATTTGAGACCTTACGATAGATAGTCATCATCTGCAATGTATTTGCTTCCTCAAGAAAGAACTTCACAAGTTGGTATTCGGTTCTTTCCCCTAAAAATGAACTAATACTGATATCTTTCAGATTGGGAAAGCCACAACCATCTTCCAACTGCCTAGGGGCTTTATAATAGGAAACACCACGACCATCTTTCAATTGCCAAGGGGCTTTATGATCTCCCCAGAAATCCACTAGCCTGTTTGTGGTCTGAAAGTTTGACATTAATGAATCAGTAGGAACACATAAATACATCTTTAGAACTTGAGAATCATCAGGTGCATAAAAAGTACCTGATTATTGTGTAGGACTAGTTTCTCCAAATTGGGAGATCTTCGAAGTAGCGTAATTATCACATTGATGTTCTCCGTGGTTAAAGGCGCTCTTATCGTCAATTGCTTCAGATTACTGAATACTGGAGACGTTTGGTAGGACAAGTCTATCCCAGAAAGTGACTGCACACAAATGTATATCGAACATTGGTAAATGCTATGTGAGAAAAATACTTTGACATCAAAATAATTTGCAAAAACAAAATGAAGTACCTCTACAGCACCTCCTGTCAAATTCAACACCTTTGCATTACTAAGCTGACTCCAAAATTTAGTCAATTCATCTACGCTCCATTGTAATGTTCCACCACACCAAACATCAGCCTCCTCAAGAAACTTCAAATCCTCGGTTAGAATTTTGCCAAACATAAATAAATTGCATGAAAGAGATTCAAGTTTCGGTGTTGATATCTGAACTGTTCCATAGATATAATCTAAATACAAGGTTTTAAGATTTAGTGCAGATATTTCAATATTTTCAAACACTACGCCCAGCCTAAGTGATTCTAGCAAGGCGCAACTGGATATCAATTTCTCAAGCAACTCTTGAGTGCACTTGACAAAATTTAGATGTAAATATCTGAGATTTATCAGATTCAGCGAGTTGGGTAACTTCAGAAAACAATTTAAAATAGCACGTGGGTATTCTAATCTCATTGATCCGTCAATATCTAAATGCTTTAGCGTAGGGCAACGAAAGAAACTAGTAGGCAACTCTAACATATCCCGTGAATGCACGTGCAGCACGATTTCCTGCACATTGTGCCGCATTGCATAGTGCAACCATGTAGAGATGCAACTGACATCCGGAACATTGGTCCAATACAATTCGAACGCTGTTATAGAAGATGTAGCACGGATTGCGAGAACTCTTTCGACGAATTTGACGAAGCTGTGATGGCAACAGAACTCTTGTCTTTTGAGGACTAGTTTCGGGCAAGTAATCCATGCGTCGCGCCAGGGCTTCGATAAAATGGAGGTGTTCTTGATGGCAGTTTTGGTTGTGAGTTTGGAGAGGATTATGTCGATGATGTTTTGAGGGAGTTCACTTAGTCTGTCTCGGTTGTCTATGGCTTTTCCTATTGAAGAGGTCTCCATATGGAAATGATTTGAAGGGTAAATTTATGGGAAGTCTAACTTTCCTTCATATAAAGATGTTCGGAGTTACTTATGGAAAGTCTTAAAATTTTAGAAACCTTGAATTATAATTTAGGATGTGATTATCATAACATCCGTCATAATTAGACTGTTGTGATTCCATCATATAACGCTTCTATATTAGATATAATCTCTCTGTAGGATATACTGTTAATTTTTTTTCCTTTCACGGACCCCCGAAGGAAATCCAAATATATCGTTGAAACTTAATCTACAGAGTTACCTAGTTTTAAGATAGACCAATGGATACCAATAGATTATTGCAATTTAAAGTACACTTGCCTAGTTTTGAGATAGGCCAGAGTGTTGAAAGCTAATATTATCTTCAACCTACTCTGGATTTTTAAGTTGGTAAAGATTATCTTCTGTAGCGATCAACGCAGAGGTTGTCCAAATTTTTCCATAGAAACATTTAAATCATCCATTAAATAGGTTCTCCAAACTTAATACTCACATATAATCAAACTTACTCCCCAAGCAGGAGTTGAGGAAAATCTTTCTATGGTCAATATTAACCTTCATAATTTTGAATGTTATATTTAAATTTTAATCTATTCTAATTCTAATTATGTCTTATCTAATCCCACATGGACTATCTATAACTTAACAATTAAAAAAATTAACAAACTACGTGAAATATTATTTTAATTTTTTAAAACCTTAATCTATCTAAATACTAATTATATCCTATATTAACCCTACATGAATTACCTATAGCTCAGCAATTTAAAAAAATAATATTAAGATTTAATTCAAAAATTACACAAAATATCTTTAGCACCTATAGCTCAGCAATTTAAAAAAATAATATTAAGATTTAATTCAAAAATTACACAAAATATCTTTAGAAGTTCAAAATTACCCAAAACATCCTTAAATATTAAGATTTAATTCAAAAATTACACAAAATATCTTTAGAAGTTCAAAATTACCCAAAACATCCTTAATTTTCAAAACTTAAAATAGCAAACATGAAATCTAAAAATTAAAAACAACCCCCGAGAAATTTAAAAATTGTAATTACACCCTCAATATTTCTAAAATTATAAAAACAACCTCAAAAGTTCAAATTATAAAAAAGCACCCTAAATTCAGTGACTTCAAAACATGCAAACAACATAAATATATTTCAGGGATTATCATTAGGCACTTAAAACCTTAAAATTTGTAATAAATAACCTTAAAGTTACATAAACTACAAAAACTCCCTCAAAATTTAAATATCATAAAAATCCTGAAATTTCAAAACTTATAATCGTAGATTTCAAATCTAAAAATTATCAGCAGATCGCTAAAAATTTGAATTTATCAAAAAATAACTCAAAGTTTCAGTAAGTGTAAAAAACATGCTCAAAATTTCAAAGTTGAAAGAAACATATTAACATTTAAAAACTTACCACAAACTCATAAAGCATAAAAGTTACAAGCACCCAACATAAAATTTAAAATTAAAAAAAATAACATTAAAAGTAGTCTAAGTTTAAAAAATATATAAAACACTCCCTCAAAAGTTTAAAATCATAGAAGGCTAAAATTTGGCAAATAAAAGAGTAAATGTTTGATATTATTTCATTAAGATATATAAATTATAGTTTTAATTTAAATTTTATCATCCCTTTTCAACATCTAAAAGTAGTCTAAGTTGATGTTGGTAAAAAATAACAGTTATGATAGATTAAAACTATCCAATTAAGGAATAAAATTTTTAAAAAATATATGATAGATTAAAAATTAACGTTACTGTTAAATTTAAGGAACTACATATATTTTTAGTAATAACATTAATTAATAGAAGACTAAATTGCATAAAACTAACAAAAGACTATAAAATAATAAGTTAGCATTAATTGATTATAATGTATAAACATTCATCTCTGATGTTAATAATATTTATAGAGTAAAAAAATACAAGGAATTTTGCATGAAAAAACTATCTAAAAGTTCAGAGATATCCTTTAAAAAATTAACTTCTTTTTATTTCAATAGAGAAGTGAAGTAAATAAACCCAAAATACGAAAACATTCATAAAACACTTGAACTGACATTGACAAAAGGTACATCTAGCAAAGAGCACCGATGAGTTCCCCCTTAAAGAACATAGTGAATAATTTTGTCCCAATTAAAAAAGCATTCATCGTGAAAGATACAAGAAAAATTAGTTTGTATTTTTCATACTTTATTCTTGAAATACTAAATAAAACATAAACTTAATATAAAATTATATATAAATAATCTTACAATAGAAACTAAATTGAAGTCATTGATCAACTATGTTATGAGATATAATAAGTCATTTAAGATGAGAGAAATCATTATAATGGACAAAAGGTATATACATGATAATTAGTTACAATAGTGTAAGTAAAAAAATTAAAATTGATACTTTTATTTTTCTTATATGTGGTACAACTCTGCAAGTAAATTTATTTGGTGATATGACTACCAGTAAATGATTCTTTTTTAAAGACACGATCAAAGATAAGCAAAAAATAGCACTGTTAGATTTCAAGTCTTTAAATATGAAGGCAACATATTTTACTACTAAATTTTTTATTAAAGGTCACTATACATAAAATTCACTTTATATCTGTCTCAAATTTATAGGGAAAATATGCATGTTATCGTAAATTGTGTTAACACTATATACTAACACAAAGATACAACTTATTGAAGAAATAAAAAAATGGTAAGTAAACCAAGCAAACATACATATAACACAATAAAGAAAAAAAAAATTACACTTTAAACCTGATACACATGGCTTATTTAGAACAAGCTGCTAATATAGAAACATATCCATCAAGTCTCTTTACAAATACAATACAAGTTTAAGCTATTTTGACATTTTAAAAAAATAAATTAGAAACACAAAATTTTCATATATGTGAAATTAACATTTAGTCTCATTGAAATACAAAAATAATCAAAGTCTGTATTTCTAAATTTTCATATATGTGAAATTAACATTTAGTCTCATTGAAATACAAAAATAATCAAAGTCTGTATTTCTAAAATTTTTATTGATCATCAAAAATTCATTCAACTTCTTTGTGAAGGAAGACAAGAATACAAAATATGAACGATCTCAAGGAAAAATAATTACACAAGAAATCCAGCTCCAGCCTGATGTCACAATCAATATTGATGATGAAGATACTACTCTAGAATTGCTCAGGAAAAAAATAAAGGTGGAGAAGGATTGATCTTAACTCAATAAAAAATAACACAGAACAAATAAGAGATTTATTTTCCAAATTTTTTATAGTATAGCTTAATTTTTGAGTAAAACCAAGAATCTTTAGAAAGGATTTTCATGAACTCTTTTAAATATTTTTATATGGTTATGTGAATGCTTTTATCATATAAAATATACTAGAGTTAGCATTAATCTTTAGTCAATGATTTTTTCTGAAGTCTATCAATTAATTAGCAACAAACTTCATATTCTTTTTAGTTTTATTTTAGCCCATTTTTAATTAATCATCTTGATTTTTCAGCTTTAATTATTCATCTTTCTTTTATAACGCTACTTTTTTTTTAAAGTGTTTTTCACTTTTATAACATTATACTTTCAAGCTTGGTTTCATGTTGGTCCAAGTCACATGAAAATTCAAATTGGCTTTAGGTTATATATGTTTCCTGTCAATTTAATTATCAATATAAAAATTTAAATTTGGTGTAGCCCATTCAAACAAACATCAAAGAAAATAAATAATCACAATGCTAAAATTTAAAGGCATAAGTTAGCAAAAACGATTAAAGTGGAACTGAGGAGCAAATTTTAGTAAGAAAATAAATTAAAAATATTTAATCATGATATTTAACTATTTAAGCAGTGCACGTGCATAAAACCTAGTTTAAAAAAAACCCTAGTGCACGTAGTTTCTTTCTGAATTATAAATGAACAGCTTTATTGGAGGCTACAAAGAGTTTCAGAGTACTTCAATTACAACAGATTAAATTCAACCGGATATCACACTTTCGACATATTACAGACCTTAATATTCACAATATGATGATTGGCGCATACCAACGCTTATATACAAAGAAGATAATGAAGAGAGAAGATTCCAGAAAGCAAATGTAAAAAATGTCCAACTTAAATATTCTTCCAAGTAGGAACCTTCAATAACAGTGGAAAGAAATGTCGCCTAGTTAAAGATCATCGGTTATCAGGACTTTTGCATTTGGAGAGATCAGATGACGAAAACTAGGTGAAAATACACCTTTGATATGCATAGTCTGCAACATATTTGCTTCCTCAAGAAAAAAATTCACAAGTCGAAACTCAGCCTTTTCTCCATAAAAACCAAAGATAAAAGATATCCATTGACATTTTTTTCCAAATTCCAAGCGGCTTCATAATCTTCCGACACGATACCGCTCAGCCGAGTAAAAAAAATACCTTAATATTGCATAAGATTAGATTCTCCAACCTGGGGCACCTTTGGAGTAACATAATTATCACACGCTGGTATTCTTCGTGTTTATTAATGTGTCTACGCTACGATGCTTCATATCGTATAATATGGGAAATATTTCCTTGTCAAGTCTAGCTCAGAGAACGACTGCATAAAAATACATGAAAAAAGAATTAATATGTGTGAAAAGGAATTAGAAGATGTTGATAAATTGAAGAAAACAAGTTGACCTGAATAACACCTGCGCTCAAACAAGCACATTTACATTACAAAGCCTATTCAGAAGTTTCACCAAGTTGTTTCCGTTCCCATTTAGATTCTGATAATTTCCAGCATATATATGCATCCGCAAGAAATTTAAAGTCCTTGGTAGAAATTTCGACTAGTGAATATAAATGGCAGACCAAAGATTTTAAGTTTTGGGGCCGAAATCTGAACTGGCCTATGAGTACAACACAAATGCAAGGTTTTCAGGTTCAGTGTGGATATTTTGATAGTTTCAGGACCTGTGACGAACTT